GCGGCATAGCTTCGAGGGAACGTCCACAGAAACCAAACTTCACAGTTCTCTTTAGCCATACCCTCAGCTTTGCTTAAGTGTTCGCCTTTAGATCAGCTTTTTCTGCGTTTCGACTGCATCTCATATGCGTGACACCCAAAGCTAACCATGTTAGATCATATATTTGTTTACACTTGTTCGGTCCTACCTGCATGGTGTTTCATTAGAACTACATCATACTGCTGTACAGCCGTCTGTATGTCACTAGCCAAAATACCTACCGTACGTCGTACTTTTTTGGCCGTGGCAGCCTATAAAAAATTAGACCTTTTTGAGACGGTTGATCACAAAAACACACACACACACATTTTCTGAGGGTCAGCGGTGTCAAGATTGGCCTGTCCAAGGCTCTAACTTCCTGATATCGACATTCGCTAAACAAGTATTGTCCGTTATAACAAGGAGTCCACGTGCGCCAAGAGAAGTAGTCCATCTTCCGCACTGTAAAGCTGCCGCAAACACAACCGAATTCAATCTCCTCTATGCCTCCGAATTGGAGCAGGCTGGAATTGCGTAGAGAAAAATATACTAGACTATACTATGTTCATTTTTGTGGTGTGGTTACAAAAACTTATGGGAAGCTGCCAGCTTCACTTGCAGTTTCATGCTAACGTTAACCTTGTTACATATATGTTATATACACTGTAAAGTGGTGTTAAATATTCGATCTATATAAATCAGCGCGACTTTCATGTAATGGTTGAGTTCGGATTAGCAAGAAAGCACCAAGAGAGGTGGAACGTGACCTGAACTAGGACCTCATTGGGGTACCCAACTGGGATAGTCGAACTAGGGTTCTTCAACCTCTGGCAGGCGGCACATGGTGGAACATGGACGTTTGGATCACCTGCTTGTTGAGTGGGGGCCGCTCCTCCAATATCTCCAATCCACCTGTCGCCCAGCCACGTCCGGTGCTCGCAGCGTGAGCCGCTGCATTTCTCCCAGGAGGTGCAGCACCTGCCAGAAGAAAAGAAAGCAACTGCGAATCGCAGGGGACTCAAAGAAGATCAAAACATAATCAACAATGACACTTTTGGAGTCCAGGTTCCACTTCGGTGGGATTTGAGGTCCCTCTTCACTGGTGGAGAATCCTCCAAGGGGCACCCCTGAATTGGAACTCCTGGTGCCTTGCTTTGAGGTCATTTCAGGCCTGAAATGCCCTTGCATATCTACACACCAGGAGTCACAGAGCTCGGGGACCAAGGCGGTGTGGCTCGTCCCATCCAGTGAGTAGAGGTGCCAGGGGCACCCCGCTTGACTTCCTCCATGGATAGCACCCCTGGGGGAACTGCTGGTAGAGCCACCCACCTCTCACTGCATCTCTTCCAGCGCCGCGTGGATCGGGTGTTCTCCACGCCTGTGCAGGGGTCAAGGTCTCCATGAGGCGGGCCACCTGCTCTCCTTGGCTGTCCAAGGTCGCTTTTATTGGTTTTGATTGGTGTAGGAGTCCTTAGCCTCTATAAGGGAGTGTGCTTTTTATGGCTGTTTATTGTGCGTTCGGGCTCCAAATACTGAGAAGGTATTTGTGGGGTGGGTTTAGAGGGTCCAGTCATACCTTCCGAGGAGGCACCTGGAGCCCTAGGGTGGTTTAGCTAATGTTATTATTATAGCCTTTATTGGCTTATAGCCTTCTAAACCAACAGGACTGTCTGTGTCTGCGTCTTGGCGCGCGCCTTTTCGGACCAGCCGAGTCTCTCTGAGCCTCCTCGGCCTGGGCCATCTTGGCCTTCTCCGCTGCCTGGCTCCGGTGGCCGCTGTCGGGGCGGCTGGCTGTGATTAAAAGCCTCTGCTGGGCAACTCCCTGTAGAAAACCAACCCCAGATTCGGAACCGCGTAGCAGCAGGTGCCGGGCAAGGCCCAGGTGATTGCAAAAATCATGTCCTGCTGAGCAACTGTTTTCGGTAGAAAGGTTCTTGAGTAATAGCCTTCCCCGACATCCCCCTGCTGGCCTTTGAAGAGTCCAATCTGCGAAATAACAGAAATCCTATTCAGCACCATGGTCCCCTGCAACTGGGTTCATTCCCTGCAGCCGGATGCACATTTTGTAGGCGTCACGGCGTTCTGGAGCGTTCTGAATGATCCTGGAGAATTTCATTGTCTTTTTTTGCCCATTGAGATTTGGAAGCATCATTTAACTTGAGGCCTGGAAGTACGCTCTTAGGGAAGCTCCAGTTCTGGCCCCACCTCCCAAATAGATTTGGAGCATCAACTGCTCCAAGAGATGCTTAGCAAGCCTGTTGTGGGTACCATCACCTGGGACGACTGAGTAGCTCTATTTCATGGGGGGTCAAGGCGAGATCCAAGCTCTTATTCGCCAGAGATGGTCTTCAGAATGGGGCAACGGCAGCTCTACACCCATGTATGTAAACAAAAGGATCTCCTAAATCATCTCCGAAGAAACCAACTGTGTGGCGAAGGGTAAAAAATGACGCCTCGGCTGCTTAGCTGATCACTTTATGTCTCACAACCAAAACTCCCGTTGCAAGTCCTACCCTCCACTGACTCCCGCTCCTCCTGCTCTTTCTGCCGCTGCAGCTTGTCAATGATGGTGTCCACCTGGCGGTCCGCAGAAACCGCGGTTCTCGACCGCCACCGCCCCCACCGCGGTCCGCCCCTACCAAGGTCCATGGCATACACAACCAGCAATGTCCATGGCGCAAGCAGCCCAGCATTTCAACCAAATTTCAGGAGTCGGGACACAACCTCAGCAGCTGAACCGGAACTTGTCAAGTTCCCTGAACCAGGTGGAAAGTACCAGAGTCCCGACAGAAGTCCAGGACATCGACGATCTATTTGATCGACTGAAGTCGCGGACATTCTTGTCGACTAGTCGACACTTCCAGGGTAGTGATGTACTTCCGCGGTGTCCTACTTCTTAGAGGTAAGCCAAATCCGTAAGTCCTCTAAGGCCCGCTCAACCGAAGTTGCATGCAACATCATGTAGCAGGGTTAACCCTACCCGTTTCATAGAGGAAATCGTAATAGGTACAGTATGTAAATGATGTAATACCCAGACACTCCCCCCCAAACCACTGCAATGTAGGCATATACGGAAGTCCCATGGAGCCTCTGGGATTATATATGGTGGTTGTCCAATATTCTTGTTTATTGAAACGGCTCTCGACATTAAAAACCCTTACAAGGACCTTTTGGATAACTCCCATATGTAACGTTACTACTTGAAAGTGGCCGTCGGCCCCCCAAAGCACCTTCCGACGAAGGGACCTGTCAGGTGGCGCATCTGGAGGGACCAGTCATACGTGAGGCAGGACGGTGTCGAACAAATGGGTAGGTCGACGGTGATGTCACTCCGCATCCCACCAAGAGCCATGCGGGCCAGTCCGCGCCATCCATGAATTCAAAGGGAAAACAACGACGGAAAAAACCGATCCCTAGGGCTGCAGGTGCCTCCGAAACGAAGGTATGACTGGACCCTCTAATTAAGTAAACCCACCCCAGTCCCACCTTGTCAGAAGGTATCTGGAGCCCTAGGGGATGTAAGAAAAGATCACCAATCCTGACCTAGCAACGGATTGGGGAACTCCCGTGGTTGCTGTTCCGGCTTCCTGTTGAATGGGTAAATATGTTTTGGAATATGGACCCGGCCCGCAGCTCGTTCTCTCCTAAGCTAGCAGCTATAGTTACTGGACGACCAACAATGGGACAGGAATAGTATCCATGCACACCATTGATGACCCTAATGTGTATAACTATTCCATACGATTCCATACCTGGATGGTTTGGGAAAACATCGCCGTTGTTTCCCGGGATCGCTGCCCTAAGGCCCTGCCCTGGTACAGCCGTGAGTTCACCACGTGCCTTGGGCAAGCTGGCTGGATCAATGGTCAAGCCTGGCCCGGCTGAGGACTGGGAGAATGGGCGGGGGATGGGTCAAAACCCGGATGATACTGAACATGAACAGAATAGACCATCACATACCATCACATACGGGGTTCAAGCAACTTCGAAACGAAGGTGATTGGAAACTCTGTGAAACGTAGGTGCCAGCAGGGTCCAAGCACCTTCTGGGAAGGTGTTTGGGATGGGTTTGAAAATTCCTAGGTACTTGGAGCCCTAGGGACCATGAAGGAGGCACGGTCAACCCAAGAAAGTTTAGGGCTCCGGGGTGGAAGAGAACTTGTGAATGACCCCTGGTTGCTGTCCAAGGTGTGCAATCCTCTCCAACAAAGTTCTGACTTCCTCCGAGGTCAAAGGTGGAGCCCAGGGCGCCATCGACCTGGTCCACGTAGAACATTCCTCCTGTTCGAACCGTTGAGTGGGATGCCCAGACTGGTCCGCCCGTGATGGTGATCCAGACTGACGTGCATGGGGCAGTCAGTCCATGGATTCTGGGGTAGCTCAACGACCCCTAGAGCCGGAGATTCCACTGCGTCGGTCTGACGGCTTATCCGAACCTTCGCCGAGGTCGAGACCTGCCCTGTGGACCACACCGGGCTTTCCCTCTTTTTTCGCCGCATGTCGAGGCCGGTGAAACACGGTGAAACGGGTCATGCCGAGCCATGCCGAGCACGTCGAGCACGGAATCGAATCGAAAGCGAAGTTGAAGCGAACATTCCGACATGTCGGTCCTCACAAAGTCGCGAGGTGGGTTGTAGCAGCACTCCTTGCATTTGGTTTCTAGGAGGGGATGAAACTCTATGAATTGAAACTCATGGTTTTGATTGTAAGTGTGCCAAGGGGCCAAGGGGTTGATTGACTTCTTGTGGATGGGGCACGGTCTCTTGCTGCCCGCTGCACGCTCGAGCCTCCACGCGCGCGCCAGGCTGCGAGCTTGGCTGCGAGCGCGTTTGCTGCGAGAGCAGTCTCGAGGCTGGTCACTTTGAGCAGTGTTTTTGTGTGGAGTGTTGTCATTCAACAAAACTCAGGTCAACACCATTCAACACCTTTTTCTCTCTTTCAAGGTTGGTGGTTTTTGGACACCTCTCTCTCATACATTATAACCATGTCATGCACCAGCAAAAACACTGCCGCTCATTTGCTGGGCTGGCGATCGGCCAACGGGGACATCAGGTCGATATAGTCTTTGTACCTGACGGTCGCGGTTCATGCGGATCGCACGGATGGTCATCCTACCTAGGCCATCCCAGGTTATCCAAGAGAAGCGCAACAGGAGGTGCAACCTTAAGAGATTTCAAAGAGGTGCAACCTTAAGAGATTTCAAAGTAAAGACTACATTGGTTTCAGAGTAGATGGCGCAACTCCCAAAATAACTTCGACAAATGGGGGACCATAGAAACCACAGAACTTGGGGATTGCGCGATCTATATATCTACTCTCAGTCCGCTGTATTTCGAGTTGGTGCGTGCACTACTGCCGCATGAGCCTTGAGCCCATCCGCAAATCGAAGTCTACAACTTAGCCACTTATGGGTGACACGCAAGAAATACATCACATACCCAGACAATCCATGTATATGGACTAGTTACCTACATTGGTGTCTTAAATGTATGCAACTATTCCATACATGGATGGTCTGGGATAGATCGGATAGATTGCCATCGTCAAAGGATTGATATTAAACAAGCCCCTTTTCATCACTCTTCGGAAGCTGAAGACACAAAACCCTATTCTTGGGCGGAAGAACAGGTTGCTCCGATGGAAGTCAGAACTTCCACATCTTCATTGAAGCTCCCTGATACCCTCCCACGAAAACCTCACATGGAAGTGGAAACCTCCAAATGTGTAGAGGAAAACGGTCTTCCGTTTCGGCCCACTGTTTGCCTTCCATGGTGTGTTTTTCTGGGAGTGTAATTACATCCTAAACATTCCACTGGATTTGTTTTGCCGACATTCACTAAGGATGCGTTTACTTAGTCCAAACCTCCAAAACAAAATGGATCTTTGCAGTTAAAGGATGTCTGTTGTTAATTCAATATGTGGTGGTGCCAAAACTACTTGTTCGTGGTGTTTGCACGGGCAAATTAGGACGTCCCCTATCAGCATGAGGATCCTGACGGCCATTCGAGCGATGGCTGCTTATCTGAGTTGGGTCATGACACATGGCACCTCGTTTTGTCGGGGAACAAATTAAAAAGAAACGCTGCGTGAACCACCTCTGTTAAAACTACATGACGATAGTTTTGTCTCTGACTCATTTATTCTCTAGGGCTCCTGGCCCGGCCCATCTCCGACCCAGTGACCGGTGGTATTCGACCGGCATCCATACATATCCCGGTCCCACCGGTCACCAAGTCCCGATTCGGGCCGTAACCTCGAGGTCTCGGACCTCGAACCACCGAGGACCTTCACCTTTCCCAACACTCCAACGTGTGGGGAGGCACCGGGGTGGAACATATCTTTCGTCAGTGCTTCGGTGAATCCGTTCCATGAAGTCGTGGTAAGCCGCTATTGTTTGGATGTTCACTCCGCTGAAACATACTTTGGACACACTTTGGGTCGATCCGACTCAGTGTTCAAGGTGACCAACACGGACACCTATGCACGTGGCGTTCCTGGAGGGATCTGCTACCAAGTGGGCCATCTTTGACCAAGCCAAGGTGCTTGAAGAACTCCCATTCACTCTCCGGGGTCGAAACGAAGCACTCCTGCCCAGCGCACTGGCGCACTGTCCGGCTGTTCGGCTGCTGAAAAAGGGGACTGTTGGTTTTGACCCCCCCGGGGGCAAGATGCGGCTGCTACCCATTCAAACTGTAAGAGCCCAAGTACGGTACGGGTCCAGCGTGGAGCACGGATCCTCAAGAAGCCACGCAAATACGTCGACTGCACTTGCTTTCAATACCGCCCCGCACGTACTGCTTTCACCCTGCGACCAAAATTGGTGGCGAGGGTTCGGAGAACCCGCCGATATTGGGTATGTTAAGTTGCATGCCTTTTCCGGCCTTGCCCCAAGAATCCCGTTTGGGCTCCAGTCGTACCTCCTCAGGTCTTTGGACCCTGCTGGCACCCACCCCAGTCCCACCTTCTCAGAAGGACGACTGGAGCCCTACAAAATGTGTTCTTCCTGTTTTTTCCTCTTGGAATATCGCCAGCGACTCGCGAGAGGACACCCTTCGACATCTGACCCATCGACGCTGAAGAGCATGGGAAGTAGGGAGTAGCCCTCCATCCCCTACACCTCCCCATCTTGGGTCTATCCGAATACCTGGGCCCAGTGGATGATGATGGGGAACCGAATACCCAGGCCGGCCTTGTTCAAAAAATAGTATAACATAATATAATGTTCTTGTGTACTGACATAGGTAATAGCAATCAGCTTATAGTAATGGCCCATGGCTAGTAATGGCTATACAGGTCAGTTCGGACCGACTACACCTCTCCATCCCCCTTTGGGAGTCGAGCTCCCCAGCTGGGACGAATGTGTCTATATACCTGGACCCCCTCTATAAGGGGTACCCCACACTACCTATAGGCTTCCATTGGGCACCCCGACAGGAGGGTCCAGGTATAGACTTGATTTTCTTTTTTAACCTCGAGGTAGTCACTTGTTTGGGGCCGTGTGTGTGTCGCATCGCTCCTTGTAGTGCTGCAGGAGCTCTTCTACTTGAGAATCGGAGACCTCGGCGTGCATGTAGGTCCTGACACTTGATCGATCGCTGGTGTCGGGAACGACACCGCGGCCCATGCGCATGACGGCCCATGGGCGGTTCAACAAGGTGGAAGTCACGTGAAGTCACGACAATTGACTGTTGCGAATTGACATGCTTTGACCCTGGTGAAAAATCCACTTTGGATCGGC